AAACAGGAAGTGGACTAGATGCTCTTTGGGTTCCCCCTTAAGCCTGGAAGCATTTGGGGTCTTCTGAACTCTTCCATCCCCATGAACATCCTCTTACCGAGCTTATTCAATGCAAGGTCAGAGGTTGTACTATAAACTCTCTGCTAACTCTAACCAAGACTCTGTGCTATAAACTCTCTGCTAACTCTAAGAAGACTCTGTGCTATAAACTCTGCTAATTCTGCTAACTCTAACTAAGACTCTGCAGTGTTTCAGGGATAGGAACCAATCGCTTGCCTTGGAGGTAGTCCATCCCATTGTGCAGCTGGCAGAGGAGGCAGTGAGAGGAGGAATTCACGTGCCTACCTAGCAGGGATGTTGTGTATTTTACTCTTCTTCTCTTCCACCCCCTTATCCGTGATCCCAGCTGTACATTAAACTAAATTCAACGACACTATGTCTCTCAGAGACCCCTGCGGTCCTTTATGAGCCATTCTGCCTACGAGACCAATATTTACTGGAAGAGAAACAGGAAGCGGACTATATGCTCTTTGGGTTCCCCCTTAATTGTCCCTTCCTCTCGTTTTTAAAGCCTGGAAGCATTCCTAAAAGGACAACTAAGTCATTTCCTATGATACCTGGAGTGAAGAATGGGAGTGGTTTGTATGTGAACTTCCTCTTTGTCACGTATTTGCTCTCTGCCATCTTATATGCCTTGCCATGATTTCTCTGCACTGGTAATCCATTGCCGTCCTCGTCATGTGTTGTGCTATGTTTGCGAGTATCTCTATATACTGATAGAAGATAGTTGTATGTAGCAACGACTAAAGAATAAACCTTCAGAGCTGTTTGAATGAAAGCCAGAGTGGAAATGTGCTTATACAAGCTGGTGAACTACTAAACAAGGAAAGACACTGCCATAAAATCTCTGTAACTGTGATCAYGACTCTGCACTGTATAGTGGACTGGAACTAACCGCTTGCCTTGGAGACAGTCCATCCCATTGAGTAGCTGGAGGAGGAGGAGGAGGCAGTGAGAGGAGGAGTTCATTCGCAGGGCTGTTGTGTGTTTTACTCTTCTTCTCTTCCATCCCCACGAACATCCTCTTACCGAACTTATTCATACCAAGGTCAGAGGCTGTGCTATAAAATCTCTGCTAACTCTAACCAAGACTCTGTGAGATTGTGAGAGGAGGAATTCACGTGCCTACCTAGCAGGGSTGTTGTGTGTTTTACTCTTCTTCTCTTCCATCCCCARGATCCTCCCCTTACTGAGCTTATTCAATACAAGGTCAGAGGCTATGTATAAAATCTCTGCTAACGCTGACCAAGACTCTGCAGTATTCCAAGGATCAGAAAGAACCACTTGCCTCGGAGACAGTCCGTCCCATTGCACAGCTGGAAGAGGAGGCCCTGAGAGAAGCAATTCATGCGCTTACCTAACAGGGGTATTGTGTGTTTTACTCTTCTTCTCTTCCATCCTCTTACCCACGGTCCCAGATCTAAATTCGATGACAGAGACCTCTCAGAGACCCCTCTGATCCTTCATAAGCCGTTCTGCTCTTGAATCTATGTCTCTCAGAGACTCCTTCAGTCCTTAATGAGCCATTCTACTTAAGAGAGCAGTATTTATTGGAAGAGAAATGGGGACTAGATGCTCTTTGGGTTTCCCCTTAAGCCTGGAAGCATTTGGGGATCTTCTGGACTCTTCCATCCCCATGAACATCCTCTTACCGAGCTTATTCAATACAAAGTCAGAGGTTGTGCTATAAACTCTCTGCTAACTCTAACCATTACTCTGTGCTATAAACTCTCTGCTAACTCTAACCAAGACTCTGTGAAATTGTGAGAGGAGGAATGAACATCCCTACCTAGCAGGGGTGTTGTGTGTTTTACTCTTCCTCTCTTCCATCCCCATGAACATCCTCTTATCGAGCTTATTCATACCAAGTTAAGAGGCTGTGCTATAAAATCTCTGCTAACTCTGACCAAGACTCTGCACTGTTTAGGGGATGGGAACTTGCCTTGGAGACAGTCCCTCCCATTGTGCAGCTGGCAGAGGAGGCAGTGAGAGGAGGAATTCACGTGCCTACCTAGCAGGGATGTTGTGTATTTTACTCTTCTTCTCTTCCACCCCCTTATCCGTGATCCCAGCTGTACATTAAACTAAATTCAACGACACTATGTCTCTCAGAGACCCCTGCGGTCCTTTATGAGCCATTCTGCCTACGAGACCAATATTTACTGGAAGAGAAACAGGAAGCGGACTATATGCTCTTTGGGTTCCCCCTTAATTGTCCCTTCCTCTCGTTTTTAAAGCCTGGAAGCATTCCTAAAAGGACAACTAAGTCATTTCCTATGATACCTGGAGTGAAGAATGGGAGTGGTTTGTATGTGAACTTCCTCTTTGTCACGTATTTGCTCTCTGCCATCTTATATGCCTTGCCATGATTTCTCTGCACTGGTAATCCATTGCCGTCCTCGTCATGTGTTGTGCTATGTTTGCGAGTATCTCTATATACTGATAGAAGATAGTTGTATGTAGCAACGACTAAAGAATAAACCTTCAGAGCTGTTTGAATGAAAGCCAGAGTGGAAATGTGCTTATACAAGCTGGTGAACTACTAAACAAGGAAAGACACTGCCATAAAATCTCTGTAACTGTGATCAAGACTCTGCACTGTATAGTGGACTGGAACTAACCGCTTGCCTTGGAGACAGTCCATCCCATTGAGTAGCTGGAGGAGGAGGAGGAGGCAGTGAGAGGAGGAGTTCATTCGCAGGGCTGTTGTGTGTTTTACTCTTCTTCTCTTCCATCCCCACGAACATCCTCTTACCGAACTTATTCATACCAAGGTCAGAGGCTGTGCTATAAAATCTCTGCTAACTCTAACCAAGACTCTGTGAGATTGTGAGAGGAGGAATTCACGTGCCTACCTAGCAGGGCTGTTGTGTGTTTTACTCTTCTTCTCTTCCATCCCCACGATCCTCCCCTTACTGAGCTTATTCAATACAAGGTCAGAGGCTATGTATAAAATCTCTGCTAACGCTGACCAAGACTCTGCAGTATTCCAAGGATCAGAAAGAACCACTTGCCTCGGAGACAGTCCGTCCCATTGCACAGCTGGAAGAGGAGGCCCTGAGAGAAGCAATTCATGCGCTTACCTAACAGGGGTATTGTGTGTTTTACTCTTCTTCTCTTCCATCCTCTTACCCACGGTCCCAGATCTAAATTCGATGACAGAGACCTCTCAGAGACCCCTCTGATCCTTCATAAGCCGTTCTGCTCTTGAATCTATGTCTCTCAGAGACTCCTTCAGTCCTTAATGAGCCATTCTACTTAAGAGAGCAGTATTTATTGGAAGAGAAATGGGGACTAGATGCTCTTTGGGTTTCCCCTTAAGCCTGGAAGCATTTGGGGATCTTCTGGACTCTTCCATCCCCATGAACATCCTCTTACCGAGCTTATTCAATACAAAGTCAGAGGTTGTGCTATAAACTCTCTGCTAACTCTAACCAAGACTCTGTGCTATAAACTCTCTGCTAACTCTAACCATTACTCTGTGCTATAAACTCTCTGCTAACTCTAACCATTACTCTGTGCTATAAATTCTCTGCTAACTCTAACCAAGACTCTGTGAGATTGTGAGAGGAGGAATGAACGTCCCTACCTAGCAGGGGTGTTGTGTGTTTTACTCTTCCTCTCTTCCATCCCCATGAACATCCTCTTATCGAGCTTATTCATACCAAGTTAAGAGGCTGTGCTATAAAATCTCTGCTAACTCTGACCAAGACTCTGCACTGTTTAGGGGATGGGAACTTGCCTTGGAGACAGTCCCTCCCATTGAGCAGCTGGAGGAGGAAGAGGCAGTGAGAGGAGGAATCCACGTGCCTACCTAGCAGGGATGTTGTGTATTTTACTCTTCTTCTCTTCCACCCTCTTATCCGTAGTCCCAGCTGTACATTAAACTAAATTCAACGACACTATGTCTCTCAGAGACACCTTTGGTCCTTCATGAGCCACTCTTCCTACGAGACCAATATTTATTGGAAGAGAAGACTAACCAAGACTCTGTGCTATAAACTCTCTGCTAACTCTAACCATTACTCTGTGCTATAAACTCTCTGCTAACTCTAACCATTACTCTGTGCTATAAACTCTCTGCTAACTCTAACCAAGACTCTGTGCTATAAACTCTCTGCTAACTCTAACCAAGACTGTGCTATAAACTCTCTGCTAACTCTGCTAACTCTAAGACTGCAGTGTTTCAGGGACAGGAACCAATCGCTTGGTTCCCCCTTAATTGTCCTTTCCTCTCTTCTTTTAAGCCTGGAAGCATTCGGGGTCTTCTGGACTCTTCCAACCCCATGAACATCTTCTTACCAAGCTTATTCAATACAAGGTCAGAGGTTCTGCTATAAACTCTCTGCTAACACTTAACCAAGACTCTGTGCTGTAAACGCTCTGCTAATTCTAACCAAGACTCTGAGCTATAAACTCTCTGCTAATTCTAACCAAGACTCTGTGCTGTAAACTCTCTGCTAACTCTTAACCAAGACTCAGTGCTATAAACTCTCTGCTAACTCTTAACCAAGACTCAGTGCTATAAACTCTCTGCTAACTCTTAACCAAGACTCTGTGCTATAAACTCTCTGCTAACTCTGGTAACTCTAACCAAGACTCTGCAGTGTTTCAGGGATCAGAATGAATAGTTCCTTTCTCTCGTTTTTTAAGCCTGGAAGCATTCAAAGTCTTCTGGACTCGACTCTGGAATGAGAAAAAGACTCTCCCAAACAAAGAGTGTTCCATTTCTTCTTTTTTTAATGGATAATGGTGAAAGCCTGAGTTACAGAGAGAGACACCTAACAGGCCGCGGCGGAAGGGATTTCAAAGCAAATACCAGGTTTCTTTGTTTCTCTACTCTACTACTCCATATAGCTGAATAAATTATGGGGGATGATTATATATATATAGATTTATGCTTTTATATATATATCTACACGCACGCGACCACGCACTCCCCTGCCGTTCAGGCGCACAGATACGCATGGAGTGGGATTAGCTATGGTTCCAACACAGAAGCGACCTTATCTACACGTATTAGGAATAAAGGTATGCTCTACAGGTAATATCGCTGTTTCCCCCCCTCCGAGGTTTGGGAATGGCATCTTTGAACGAACACTGAATACACTGAAATCGTCGCTGAGAAGTAGGGTTCGCTCTTGGCCCACAACGCAATGTTGGAGGGCCAAGAAAATGCTGAGAAGAGGACACGATTTGCTGGACGCGGATGAGCAAAAGTGTGGACAAATAGCAAACTCTAATAATATGAAGGAATTCCGGACCCGGAATCTCGCACTGGAGGACCTAGAAAATGCCTACAGAGGACACGTTTTGTTGGCGGTGGCAAATAGTCAACGTTATTGAAATGTCTCTATTGCTTCTGCATTATCCTTTCGTTTACGGGAATCTTCAGGTTTTTTTACGGGAATCTCCTTTTTTTACGAGAATCTCCTTTTTTTATGGGAATCTCATTTTTTACGAGAATCTCCGGTTTTTTTTACAGTAATCTCGTTTTTTTAACGGGAATCTCGTTTTTACGGGAATCTCCTTTTTTACGGGACTCTCCTCTTTTACGAGAATCTCCGTTTTTTTACAGTAATCTCCATTTTTTTAACGGGAATCTCTGTTTTTTTTACAGGAATCTTCATTTTTTATGGGAATCTCCGTTAGTTTACAGGAATATGAAGTATCATTAAGACAACAATCCACAACCCATTGAAAACCTTACACAGAACCCACCGCTCATAGGACTGGAGCTGTGGGATCGAGGGGAACCGGACTTTTGGACCACGGTAGAGACAAAGAACATCCTACAAACTCAAGAACGGCTCATGAAACTGGAATGTCGATTAATCTCTTGTGCCCTTTCTGCAGGGACTTTCTCCTTAGAGAGACCTAGAACCTTCTAGATTCATCTCTTGTGCCCTTTCTGCAGGGACTTTCTTCTTAGAGAGACCTAGAACCTTCTTGGCTTGGTTTCAAGAATCTGGAACCAGAGCTCAAGCGTATGATGAATGCGGTGAGTGGCAAACAAGGCCAGAGGCCGTGCTATAAATCTCTGCTAACTACAGATCAAAACTCTGTTGAGTTTTGCTTGCCTTGAGACAATCAGACCCATGCAGAGCTCAGGGAATGTGAGAGGAGGGAATGATTGAAATTACCTACCTAGGAGTGTTCTGTGTTTGTTTATTTACCCCGATAGTTGGATCGGAAGAACATGAACCTAAGGAGGGGACAGTGGGGTTGGAATGAAAGAAGAACACTTTGCCGAGGAAATGGTTCCAATTTGGGATCAAAACTAACCCAAGTTTGAGCCATTTCTCCTTAGGATCTCCTCCTCCAAGGAGCCTTGGTCCAATTGGAGGAAACATTGGGGTCATGATCCCAATGAGAGTCATTCCAGAGTATGGATGGAATTGTGTGGTTTTATGGAAGAGTTACATCCATCCAATGGGATCATAATGTGGGTCCAAAAAAAAAGCAATACTCTATGGAGAGGAATGTTTTCGTAGCTCTTAGGTTGAGGAACATCTCAAGAACCTTTTGAAAATGGATACATTTCCCAAGAACAGATGGATCTGCGTGGTTTTGTGGAAGGGTTGCACTCATCCAATGGGACCAATGCATGAATGGGCATGAAAATATCATTCAGAGGAGACGAATTTGGTAGGAACATCTCAAGAACCTTTGGAGAATGGATACATTTCCCAAGAACAGATGGCTCTGCGTGGTTTTGTGGAAGGGTTGCACTCATCCAATGGCACCAATGCATGAATGGGCATGAAAACATCATTCAGAGGAGAGGGATTTTGGTGGGAACATCTCAAGAAACTTTGGAGAATGGATACATTTCCCAAGAACAGATGGATCTGCGTGGTTTTGTGGAAGGGTTGCACTCATCCAATGGGACAAATGCATGAATGGGCATGAAAACATCCTTCAGAGTAGAGGGATTTTGGTAGGAACATCTCAAGAACCTTTTGGAAATGGATACATTTCCCAAGAACAGATGGATCTGCGTGGTTTTGTGGAAGGGTTGCACTCATCCAATGGGACCAATGCATGAATGGGCATGAAAACATCCTTCAGAGTAGAGGGATTTTGGTAGGAACATCTCAAGAACCTTTTGGAAATGGATACATTTCCCAAGAACAGATGGATCTGCGTGGTTTTGTGGAAGGGTTGCACTCATCCAATGGGACCAATGCATGAATGGGCATGAAAACATCCTTCAGAGGAGAGGGATTTTGGTAGGAACATCTCAAGAACCTTTGGAGAATGGATACATTTCCCAAGAACAGATGGATCTGCGTGGTTTTGTGGAAGGGTTGCACTCATCCAATGGGACCAATGCATGAATGGGCATGAAAACATCCTTCAGAGGAGAGGGATTTTGGTAGGAACATCTCAAGAACCTTTGGAGAATGGATACATTTCCCAAGAACAGATGGATCTGCGTGGTTTTGTGGAAGGGTTGCACTCATCCAATGGGACCAATGCATGAATGGGCATGAAAACATCATTCAGAGGAGAGGGATTTTGGTGGGAACATCTCAATAACCTCCTTTTTGGGGAACTTCGCTCCCCAAAATGGAGCCACTCACAAAGATAAACACTTTTGGTCCATTTTGGTTTAATTCTGGAACCCAACTCACTATATTCTGAGCTGGAATACTTCAACTCCAGAACTTCTTGACTTGAGGACCTTCACAAGGAAAGCTAACTGGCGTTCAGTGACATCTGGTCCCCAACTTTTCCAAAAAAACAGAACTATACATCACATCTACCCATCCCTGTCCTGTCTTTGATTGGTCCCTGGTACGAATTGATACGAACATTGATAATCTAACAATTGCTTCTTTTTTTTTGGTCCGTCCATCTCGACGCTTGGTCCCAACCAGGACTCCTACTTCCCAGGGAACGTTGGTCCTCCTACGATAACAAAACGGGGTGAAGGGGAGGGTTTAGGCGGACAAACAAACAAAATATATCGATACCTATCTCTATATAACCACAAAGAAATAGACAAGAGTCCACAGAGACAACGCCAAGTAGGCAACATCGATGGGAAGTCCATAAACGTTGGTCGGCCTCGAAAGGCCCAAACGCCGTACAACTCGCTTAGACCCAGCTCATTGTCTCTGGTCTTGGAATGAGTTGACGGCAAAGACGACGGGCAAGGATTTGGACAGACGGACAGTTCGAGCCCTTTCTCCAGCCGTTCGTCCTCTTTGAGGATTGGGAAGATCTCAAAGATTGAGTTCAAGAGGAGGAGTAAGTGGGATTTCTCATTCTCTCCGGCGTCTCGTCGTCAACGGAGGAGTTCTCGATCGGGGCGTTTCCATCAATATGCTTGGCCCGTTTCGACCGGGAGCAGGCCAAGGACAGCCGAATGTTCGCCGAGCTTCATCCGGCGCTGTGTGGACAGGCTGACGTTCTTGGTCAAGTAGTCAACGGCGGCTGGAGGAAACGAGAGGAGGAGGAAAACAAGGAGTAAACAAGTGCACCACCCTAAGGGCAAAACCATACCCATCCTTGACCCACCAAACTTGGAGGCAACTCAATGCAAACAACAAGTTGCTTGAACGTACAACTGCTTTTAATTATTATATTTCAACACTAGCTGTCCCCTGCCAGGCGTTGCTGTGGCCCAGTCTGGTGATCTGGAAAATATAGTAATGAGAAAGTGTTGGTTTCTAATATATGTAATTCCTTTATGTTTGAGAGTAAACAGTATTTCTTGTTGTTTCTTTGTCAGTGTTGATGTGGAGAGTGTCTGGTCTGCCTACTCTGGAATATGCAACATATCATTGTCCTTCTTTAAGGGTCTCTTTCAAATCTATGATACTATATCTGTGTGTGTGTGAATAATATCTATCATCTATCTATCTATCTATCTATCTATCTATCTATCTATCTATCTATCTATCTATCTATCTATCTATATCTATGGCTGGATGGCTCTTTGTCAGGAGGACTTTGATTACATTTTCTTCCCCTGGTGAAGAGAGTTGGACTGGATGGCCTTAAGTATTTTCTGTTGGGAAGTTTGCCCCATTTCTGTCATTTGTGGGTGTCAGAATGCTCTTTAATTGTAGTGAACTATAAATCCCAGGAACTACAAATCCCAAATGTCAAGGTCTATTTCCCCCAAACTCCATCTGTGTTCATATTTAGGCAGATGGAATTTTTGTGTCAAGTTTGGTCCAGATCCATCATTGTTTGAGTCCACAGTGGTCTCTGGATGTAGGCGAACTACAACTCCCAAACTCAAGGTCAATGCCCACCAAACCCTTCCAGTATTTTCTGTTGGTCATGGGAGTCCTGTGTGCCAAGTTTGGTTCAATTCCATCTTTGGTGGAGTTCAGAATGCTCTTTGATTGTAGGTGAACTATAAATCCCAGTAAGTACAAATCCCAAATATCAAGGTCTATTTCCCTTAAACTCCATCTATGTTCATATTTGGGCATATGGAAGATTCGTGCCAAGTTTGGTCCAGATCCATCATTGCTTGAGTCCACAGTGCTCTCTGGATGTGGGTGAACTATAATTCCCAAACTCAAGGTCAACGTCCACCAAACCCTTCCAGTTTTTTCTGTTGGTCATGGGAGCCCTGTGTGCTAAGTTTGGCCCAATTCCATCATTGGTGGAGTTCAGAATGCTCTTTGATTGTAGGTAAACTATAAATCCCAGCAACGACAATTCCCAAATGACAAAATAATTTTTTTGAGTGGAGGACATAAATTGGACTGTTAGGTGTCTTGTGTCCAAATTTGGTGTCAATTCCCCCAGTGGTTTTTGAGTTCTGATGGTAGCACAAACGAACATTACATAGATTAATTAATTCAGTGACATCACTCCTTCACGGTTCGCTTTCCGCGGACTCGCTATTTCGCGGGGAAGGAGGAGGAGGAAGTGAAGGAGGAGAAGGGCTCGCTTCCTTTCCTTCCTTCCCTGTGTGGGCGAGGAAGGAGGAAGGGAGGGGGAAAGAGGAGCGTCTCAACTTCACGGATTCTCACTTTGGGTTTGGTGGGCATTGACCTTGAGTTAGGGAGTTGTAGTTCACCTCCATCCAGAGAGCGCTGTGGACTCAAACAATGATGGATCTGGACCAAACTTGACACAAATCTTCCATATGCCCAAATATGAACACAGATGGATTAGGACTCCCATGACCAATAGAAAATATGGGAAGGGTTTGGTGGGCATTGACCTTGAGTTAGGGAGTTGTAGTTCACCTCCATCCAGAGAGCACTGTGGACTCAAGTAATGATGGATCTGGACCAAACTTGACACAAATCTTCCATATGCCCAAATATTAACACAGATGGAATTTGGGGAAAATAGGCATTGACATTTGGGAGTTGTACTTACTGGGATTTATAGTTCACCTACAATCAAAGAGCATTCTGAACCCCACAAACGACAGAATTGGGCCAAACTTCCCACACTGAACCCCCATGGCCAACAGAAAATACTTAAGGCCATCCAGTCCAACTCCCTTCACCAGGACAAGAAAACGTAATCAAAGCCCTCCTGACAAAGAGCCACCCAGACATAGATATAGATAGATATATATGATTCACACACACAGAGATATAGTATCATAGATTTGAAAGGGACCCCTAAAGAAGGACAACTATATGTTGCATATTCCAGAGTTGGCTAACCAGACAATCTCCACATCAACACTGACAAAGAAACAGCAAGAAATACTGTTTACCCACAAACATAAAGAAATTACATATATTAGAAAACAACACTTTATCATTACTTTATTTTCCAGATCACCAGATAGTATAGTATTATCTATATATTAGCCGTGCCCTGCCACACGTTGCTGTGGCCCACATAGGGGTTGTGTGTGGGAGGTTTAGCCCAATTCTATCGTTGGTGGGGTTCAGAATGCTCTGTGATTGTAGGTGAACTATAAATCCCAGCAACTACAACTCCCGAATGTCAAGATTGTATTTTCCCCAAACTCCACCAGTGTTCACATTTGGGCATATTGAGTATTCGTGTAGAGTTTGGTCCAGATCCATCATTGTTTGAGTCCACAGTGATCTCTGGATGTAGGTGAACTACAACTCCAAAACCAAAGGACACTGCCCACCAAACCCTTCCAGTATTTTCTGTTGGTCATGGGAGAACTGTGTGCCAAGTTTGGTTCAATTCCATCATTGGTGGGGTTCAGAATGCTCTGATTGTAGGTGAACTATAAATCCCAGCAACTACAACTCCCAAATGTCAAGATTCTATTTTCCTCAAACTCCACCAGTGTTCACATTTGGGCATATTGAGTATTCGTGTAGAGTTTGGTCCAGATCCATCATTGTTTGAGTCCACAGTGATCTCTGGATGGAGGTGAACTACAACTCCCCAACTCAAGGTCAATGCCCACCAAACCCTTCCCATATTTTCTGTTGGTCATGGGAGTCCTACTCCATCTGTGTTCATATTTGGGCATATGGAAGATTCGTGTCAAGTTTGGTCCAGATCCATCATTGTTTGAGTCCACAGTGCTCTCTGGATGGAGGTGAACTACAACTCCCCAACTTAAGGTCAATGCCCACCAAACCCTTCCCATATTTTCTGTTGGTCATGGGAGTCCTACTCCATCTGTGTTCATATTTGGGCATATGGAAGATTCGTGTCAAGTTTGGTCCAGATCCATCATTGTTTGAGTCCACAGTGATCTCTGGATGTAGGTGAACTACAACTCCAAAACCAAAGGACACTGCCCACCAAACCCTTCCAGTATTTTCTGTTGGTCATGGGAGAACTGTGTGCCAAGTTTGGTTCAATTCCATCGTTGGTGGGGTTCAGAATGCTCTTTGATTTTAGGTAAACTACAAATCCCAGCAACTACAACTCCCAAATGACAAAATCAATTTTTTTGAGTGAAGGACATACATTGGGTTGTTAGGTGTCTTGTGTCCAAATTTGGTGTCAATCCCTCCAGTGGTTTTTGAGTTCTGATGGTAGCACGAACTAACATTACATTTTTAGTTATATAGATTAATTAATTCAGTGACATCACTACTTCACGGTTCGCTTTCCGCGGACTCGCTATTTCGCGGGGAAGGAGGAGGAGGAGAACTATAAATCCCAGCAACTACAACTCCCAAATGACAATTTTTTTTTGAGTGAAGGACATACATTGGGTTGTTAGGTGTCTTGTGTTCAAATTTGGTGTCAATTTGTCCTGTGGTTATTGAGTTCTGTGAATACCACAAACGGACATTACATTTTTATTTATATAGATTAGCCCTCTGGGATCTCCTTGGAGAGCGGAAAACTACGAATCCCTGGTTTCTCTGGATCTTTTTATGGGGGAACCCAACATTTGCCAAATCGAAAAGAGGAACGAGACAAGTGTGTTTACTTTACTCACTACTTTGGAAGTACTACTCAGAGAAGTAAGATTTGAAGATTTGATGCAAAATGACAACGTTCGCAGATGATGTCGCGATCGCCTTAGAAGACCCCTCGGAAACTTCTACGACGCGACACGGAGGAGCGAGCTCTCCTGCTGTTTTGGGAAACGGGAGAACGGGGCCAACTTGGAACCGTCCCGTCCGTTTCCCGGAGGCCGAGTCCGCCGTTAATGATGCCGCGGATGGAACGCCGAAGCGTGAAACAGATTCCTAATGGATGTGACAAGTCTAATAAGGGTTTTTGCCTGGAAGGGACCCCCCTTTGGGGCCGGCTGGTGACAGGACGCTGACGGCTCAAATTTGTTTACTCCTTGGCACCGACGGTGCCGTTCCTGCCAGCTTCTTATTAATCTAATTTGAGGCATTAGAACCGGGGAGACGGGGAGGGAGGGGGGATGCCAGCCGACGTGACTGAAGCCCCGCTAATAAGGAATGTCACCCGCCGAAGGCCGGGCGAAAAGAGAGGGAGAGGCAGGGATGGAGATCTATATCGGTATCTCGGCCATCTCTTGCCTCGCAATGCGCCTCCTGCGCAATGTGACGGGCGACGTCCATACTAGAGTATACTGACCCTCAAATGGCACAAAAGACCCTCCTCATAAATGCATAGCAGAGTAACTTATTAGCAGCAGTGTGACCCAGCATCAGTAGCCCAATGTGATAGAAAGAGCAAAAACAAACACATCGATGTTATCTCTTCCTTAGGAGGCTTTTCTTGACAGATGGATGCATGGATGGTAGTAGTAGTAGATGATAGGTGAATGGATGGATCGGTAGTAGTAGATGGATAGAAAGATGACGGAGTAGATGATAGATGGATGGTAGTAGTAGATGATAGGTGAATGGATGGATAGGTAGTAGTAGATGGATAGATAGATGATGGAGTAGATGATGGATGGAAGGATGAATGGTACTAGTACATGATAGGTGAATAGATGAACGGTAGTAGTAGATAGATAGATAGATGATGGAGTAGATGATGGATGGATGGTAGTAGTAGAGGATAGGTGAATTGATGGATAG